GGAGGTCATGGTTTGATTCCCTTTCAGGACACACGTCTGGGTTGCAGGCTCAATCCCTAGCAGGGGGTGCGCAGGAGGCAGCTGATCAATGATTCTCATCGTTGATGTTTCTATCTCTTTCTCCCTCTCCCTTCCTCTCTGCAATCAATGAAAATATATTTTTTTTAAAAAATTATTCATTATACAAAAAAAGTCATTAGTTTTATTTTGTTTGTGTTGTAAGCAAAATATTCTATGGTTGGTATTACATGTAATTGACTGGGACCTGTGACTCCAGAATTTGTACTTAAATATTTCTATCTCTGTTTACTCATTGCATATCAAGTATAGTACCTGATTAGAAATGCTACATATAGAATTCTGAGGTGCATTGTGATATTGCTAAGCTTTCAGACACCCAAGTGGATGTTTTCATCTTGAGTGTGTGAAATGTCTTCCTGCTTACCTAATCGTAGTTGGTATGTCTTGACTTAGCATTGAAACAACCAATTTAGCAGCCAATAGATGGCAGTGGAAGTATTTAAAACATATTCTTTATCTTTTCCATTCCATGAATATGATTATTTCTGAAAGTAAATGACAATTCATATAATAAAATTAAAAACAAAGGTACATTCAGGATGTTCATGTTGAAGACACTAAATATTTAATTGTTGCATTCCTGTTGAAAATGTTAGCCCCCTAATGATAGGAAACAATGCTTTCTTTCTCTACCATGTTGTAACTTGTTAGTATGTCATTCAAAGTTATTTTAGCACTACCTGCTAGGATTGCTGGGGAAATCTTTAACTTACTTGGTATGTATGATGTCTGCATGGATTTGATTTTTGGTACTACTTTACTGCTTATGTGATCCTGGTAGGGTGAGGATTACTGAGACATGTAATTAAGTATTTTTATTACTGGTCCTCAACTGAATTTTTCTAAAGCCAACTTCACAAGTAATCTTTTCATTCTCTATAGTAAACAAGCCCATAAAATGTTCAATGAATCATGCAGAGTAAAAGAGAAAATAAATTATAGTACTTCAGCGCAGACAGCACTGAACAGACTAATCCATTTATAGAATGGGACTAATTTCCCTCTAAAATTGGCTAGCAGCAGGCTTGATTATGTAGATTTGGTATAAAAAGATTCCATGTGGAGTTCTGTGGGAATGCCACCTACATAGGAAGCCAAACAGACACTATATATTTTGTTAAATGAGATCCAGTGTCTATGCCCCAATCTTTGACTCTTTTTTTCTTTCTTTCTCAGTTACATCAAGTGTCACACAAAGCCAGGTATCCAGGTGAGATTTTCCAAAAAGTGTTATCAGCATGATACATTAAAGCTATTCCATCTTCAATTACACCCCACTACTTTTACAATGCTCTGTCCTAAAACTATTGAAGAAGCCATTGCTTTCATCTAAAACAAGCATAAATCATTGTTTTGTAAAAATTCAGCACTGAATGAAACACGTTGCTAGAGAAAAACCACATTTTAGTCTATTTGTTAATGCATAAAATAATAAAACATTTAAGTTGTAAGTGTGTTGATATTTTTAAATACTGTTTCTTTTATATGGAACATCATAAAATAAATGTATATGCACATATATTTATATTCATATACTATTTCATGATGATGTCTCTCATGTATGTACACATGAAATAGGAAAGTGTATCTGGATGGCCTATTACAGTGGTCGGCAAACTCATTAGTCAACAGAGCCAAATATCAACAGTACAACAATTGAAATTTCTTTTGAGAGCCAAATTTTTTAAACTTAAACTATATAGGTAGGTACATTGTTATTAACTTAATTAGGGTACTCCTAAGCTGGCCTTTGCTAAAAACGTCCTCAATCTGATTGTGGTACGTTCACTGAGGTCGACCCCTTCCAACTCTCCCATCCACACTCGTCTTGTATACTTGTTTCATCTATCTCCTTTTGTTCACCCTCTCTATATGTCCAAACCATCTCAACGTACCTTTCTCAATCCTCGACACTACATCTTCTTTCACTCCACAACGTTCCCTAAAATTAACTTAATAAACTTTACTTAAAGTTTTAAGTCTTAGTTAGACTATAGGTACGTTGAATAAAACTTGATATCATACTTAATAACGATATTATTTATTGATAAAATTAAATTCCATACAATTTACCTTACAATATCCATAAAATTAAATCATGACAATGACTGACAAACACTAATGTGAACAGTGGCCTTGCATCTCCTTGGAAAGTTTGGGTAAGTCAGGTTTGTATGTTGTTGTTTTTAATTTTAGGCATGATTCCAGGTTCTCATCAATAAGACGACTTCTCAATTTACTCTTGATAAGGTTCATGCTTGAAAATGATTGTTCGCATAAATATGTAGACCCGAATAAGGAAAGAACAGAAACACTAGTTTTTTCAGTTGATTATATGAGTCAGGAATACTATTCCAGGTGTTAAAAATCAACATATCTTCCTTCTCCAGGTCTTTCAAAGCAGACCACTTGTGCTGTGAACTGTATGTGCGCGCCCGCACATGGTATTTTGTGGAAGAGCCACACTCAAGGGGCCAAAGAGCCGCATGTGGCTCACGAGCCGCGGTTTGCCGACCACTGGCCTAATACAATGCCTGGTTAGTTTTTGAGTAACTACTAAAATAAGTTACAGGACAATCAGCTAAAATAATGTGTTGCCTATTCAAATACAAAATAAGTATTTTTATAAATAATGTTTATTCAACCCACACGCACCTCACTTTACAAAACCATTATTTTTTTAATGTTTTTATTGATTTTTAGAGAGAGAGGAAGGGATAAAGATAGAGAGATAGAAACATCATCAATCAGAGTATGCTTTCTACCCTTCTGCGTGATCCCTGTCCCCTGGTAATCCTACCACTAAACCCTGTGTTTAAGCAGTGCACACTCAGTCCTCTTCTCAGAGCTGGTTCATTTAGAAGAATGCTCTTGCTTTACATCATTCCTTTAATATATATATATATATACACATACATATATATATTTTTTTTTTCAGAGAGAAAGGGTGAGGGAGAGATAGAAACATCAATGACAGCGAATCATTGATCAGCTGCCTCTTGCACACCCCACACTGGGGATCAAGCCTGCAACCCGGGTATATGCCCTGACTGGGAATCGAACCATGACCTCCTGGTTCATAAGTGGATGTTCAACCATTGAGCCACACCATCAGGGCCATCATTTATTAATGGAGAAACTTCTCAGGTAGTGTCTCAAAGACATCCCAGGGTTTTAACCCTGGGGCTATGGATAGAAATGTCTAATAACTAACTGATTATAATTAGTTATAGGCATTAGTAATTGGATGATTCAAAGAGACATATGGATTCTACCCTTGTCATTACCAAAGGCAATGAATCATTTCTGAATAAGACAGGTCATGGAGTAGGGGTGTACCTACACCCCCACCTCTGCCTCTTCTGCCAGCACTCCCCTTGATAAAGTGCCTTTCACATATCTGTCCTTCAGCAAACGTTTGCATAATGAAAGCTTGGACTCCAGATGATCCACTCTGTAAGAATATAGCCTCTAATCATATCTCGCATCTTCAAGTCATATCCCAATCTGCAGTAAGTATGTAATGCTCAGAATGCACACTCCTCTGACTCTCCTTAAAAATATTCCTTAGGTGCAGTTCTAATAATAGCATGTGATTAATATCCATTTCAACTCCTGCCATATTTCTGGTTTGGAAATATCTGAACCTTGAAAAAGTCTTGTTCATCTTTACCTTCTGACAAAAAACTGTTGGCCTAACTTGATGTTTTCATGGTTACCTAATAGAGGCTAGGCTAAGCACACTTCAGGTAGGCACTTGATGGATAGTTTGGGGAATAATCACCCACTATTTCAGAAGCTGTGATCATGAATGTCTTTTCTAAATCATTTGGCTTTTTAAAAAAAATCTATGTATTTCCAAAGAACAGATTAGAAAATTTTGATTACACCATATGATTAGTAGATAATTATCTTCTGGCTTTAATTCTAATACCACCATTTACTATTAAAGTCAGAAAACAGATGAGCAGACATAAGGAAAAATACATATGCACATGCCAATCAAATATCCCTGTTTGACATATTTTGGCATATACACTTCTGGTTTTCATAAAAATAATAAAACTGTGAAAATCATCTTTCATATAACCCGACCAGGAATGGCTCCAAAGAAGCAAATGCTTATTTAAGCTACGCTTTAAATAAATGTATGCCTGACTTACTGTCTTAGTCTGCTTAGGCTGCTATATAACAAAATACCATAGACTGGGTGGCTTATCTACAACAGAAATTTGTTGCTCATAGTCTGGAGACTGAGAAGTCCAAGACCAAGGCACCAGCATGGTTGTCTTCTAGTGAAGGCTCTCCTGCTGGTTCATTAGCCAGTGCCTTCTCTCCATGTCCTCGGTTGGTGGAAGGAACTAGGGATGTCTGCAGCCACTTTCATAGGGCACTAACCCATTCATGATGGCTCCACCCACATGGCTTAAGCACCTCCCAAAGGCACCTCCTACTAATACCATCACATTGGAATTAGTATTTCAATATATGAATTTTAAAGAGACACATTCAGATCATAGCACTTACCAAAATTATGTCATGAAACTAGGACTAAAACCCAAAATTTAATCAACCAACACTTTTTATATGTATTTTTGTATTAAGTTCATTACAATAGATGAAGGTAAAAAAATACCTATCCTGATTAGGAAAATTTCGAGTGCCAATTTATGTAAGTACATAGTGTTAGGTTGTATATGTGTGTGTGTATGCACGCACAAGCATGCATGTTTGGTGTCTATCATGTGGATGAGGGAGAAAATGAAGTGTGGGAATAGGTACGAATAAGACACAATTCCTGCCCTAAAAACTCTTTTTTGCCTTAAAAGCAGTTAAATAAGGAAAACGTATTTTCACTTCTGTGTAAGTGATTTTGATTAATATTTGCTTAAGCACTGAAATAGAGAAACTGTCATCTTATGAAAAATTCAGTTGCCTTCAGTGCAACTCAGCAGTTCTTTTACCCATATCTAATTGACTTCCTACTGCATTTCCTACCAGAGTAATTTCAAATTTCCTCTAATCTTCTCAAATGACCTGATCTACTCATTTTCCTCCCCTCCAAGCAGACAACCCCTGCATTGACTTTATTTAGATTAAGATAATCAGATAAGAGTTCCCTTCGCTATCTTTCCCTTCCCCCAAAATTGTCTCTGGGTTATCACCCATGAATGTCCTTAGTTCCTCTTTCTCGAGATGAAGCTTGTTCTGCTGATAACAGTCCTGTGCTCCTCCCTGTCCCTGAGCGGTTTCTCTGCTGTTCTCGGCTCTGCTCTGAGTCGAAGAAGACTAGCCTGTTGCAACTACATCACTCAGCCACTCCCATATTCTGGTTTTTGGTTGGGTTTGGACAATGGCAAGCAGTAGAAGGAAATCAGAGGGTGGGAGGAAGAAGCTACCAGGCAATTTATTTCCCCACCCTTGTCCTTTGCCCATTTATTTTAACATTTATTCATTCACTCACACATGGCCCTTTCCTGCTTCACTGCATATGTGCTCTGGCTCAGCTCTCACTTGAACTTCTCTAAACCCTTTATTCCCTCCCTTGCCCCCTCCAGTCATAGGGACTTTCTGCTGTTATAAGTCCCTGGGCACCTCACCAATTCTTCCTGTTCCTTTAATCCTGTTCTCACCTCTAGATAATCCAGCCTTTGAACTTGCCATCTGCATCCAGGTGGCCCCTTGACTGATGCAAGCTACTTTCACCTTCATTAGGTCCAATCTGCAACTGTCTCTTTTTACCTGGCTCACAATTTTACTTTTTTTTTTTCTTTCACTCATTAGTACATATGTTCAAATTTTATCAATATTGGGACACCCCCTTCCTTCTTACTCTTTCAAGGTGTTGCCCTGTGGTAAACTTGCAACCCTTTCTTCAGAGTTGTCCACAGACATTTAAATGTGGTGTCTGCTTCCGTAACTGTTCTAATAGAATTATGTCTTATTTCTTACTAATATGGAACAAAGTTATGAAAACATAGATGTCCAGCTTCACAAACTGATGGGGAAAACCCCTTTAATTCCTAGAACACAGCAGATCCCCAGAAGCTTCCTACACAGGCTTTCCTGATCGTATGCCCCTCCTACTTCCTGCAAAAATAACTATCCCTCTTTACGTTAGAGTTTTACTACCTAAATGTTCATCAATAATAATAAAAAAAAGTTAATTTTGTTGTTTTTGAATTTTATGTATGAAATCATAAAGGTAATTTTCTTACTGTGTTGGCTTCTTTTCCTTAACTTTATGCTTTTAAGATCCAGAAGTGTTTCTGTATGCATATATAGTCTGTTTCCATTGCTGTTTAGGACTCCATCATATGCATATACTATTATTTCTTTATTTTACAGTTGTTGGCAGTTTTGAACCATGCACTATGAACTTTCAAGTGCATGTATCCTAATGACCATAAGCAAGCATTTCCATGGGGTGTATGACTAGGCATGAAATAGGCTGGGTCATATTATGTCTGTCTTCCAGGTCTACTAGAAATGGCCAATTGTTTTCCAAAGTGAACTTAACAGTTCACTCTTCCACCAGCAAATTATGAAAATCCCTGTTGATTTATATTTTTGTCAACACTATTAGCACACACTATTGGATTTTTGCCATTTTATTTGTTGATGTGTTATATCTTATTGTGACTTTAGGTTGCATTTATTTCCTTGATTGCTGGTAAGATTACGCATATCTTGAAGTGCTTTTTAATATTTTTGCCCATTTTCCTTTTTTTGTGCCCTTTTCTTGTTGCATTTTGAAAATTTTTAATATATTCAGAATATGAGCCCTTGTCGGGGTGGCACAGTTGATTGGAGCATCATCCCATACACCAAGAAGGTTGTGGGTTCGATTCCTAGTCAAGGCACATACCTAGGTTGTGGGTTCCATCCCTGGTCAGGGCATGTATGAGAAGCAACTGATTAATGTTTCCCTCACATCAATGTTTCTCTCTCTCTCTCTCTCTCTCTCTCTCTACGCCCCCCCATTCCTTTCTTTTTAAAAATCAATTAAAAAACATATCCTTGGGTGAGGATGAAAACATATATATGGTGTCCCCCCAAAATGTATACACACAGTTTGAATAATTAGAAAGGCAGTGTTTATTAAACTACATTTCATTTTATCAGCTGTTAAAGTGCGTATATATATTTTGAGGAACACCCTGTAGATATTCAGAATATGAGATTTTAGTAGTTACATGTATTTGCAAATATATTTTTCTTATTCTTAGATTTCCCTTTTTACTCTTTAAGTACAATTCATTGATGAACATGAGTTCTTAATTTTAATGTAGTCCATTTGTCAATTTTTCTGTTTTTGCTTAATTCGTGTTGTTTTAATAAACCAGTCCTACTCCCAGACTCTTATTGAGAGACTACTATATTATATTCTTGAACTTTTATTGATGCTCTTCACATTAGGTCTAAAGTTTCTCTAAAATTGAATGTTTATGTGTGTGTATTAGGTAAGATAGGGGTTTATTTAATTTTGTGTTTTGCTTATGGATAACCAGTTTTTGCAAAAATATTTATTTAAAAGATTATTTCCCCTCAATGTGTTACAAAACTACCAGTGCTAAATATCAAAAGTCATATTTGTGTGATGTGGTTCTGAGCTTCTATTTGGCTCCATTCATACCTTGGTGTCTCCTTTCACTAATACTACCTGCTCTGAATTACTGTGTCTTTGTCGTTATTTTTGAAATTTGTAGAGCAAGTCCTATACCCTTGATCTTTTTCTTCAAGCTGTCTCTGGTCTCAGATATTTTTGGCCCTGTGTATTTCCACACAAATTTTGAATTTGCTTTCAAGTTCTTAAAAATAATAAAGCAACTATTTGTATTTGGATACTAATTGCAATGACTCTATATGTCAATTTGGAGAGAGTTGATACAATTCCAATATTGAATTGTCCAACCCCAGAACAAAAAAGGTGAAACACGTTGTGAATTTGTGTATTAGCTTTGCACAGGGCCATGCTAATCTCTGCATTGTTCTAATACAGATTTATTGCAATTGGAGAATAGGAGTGGGTAAGTTAGAACTAGAGTTAGTAGTCAAAATGTGGGCTGTTTGAGCCCGGCCAGTGTGGCTCAGTGGTTGAGCATCCACCTATGAACCCAGAGTTCACAGTTTGATCCCCAGTAAAGGGTGTGCAGGAGGCACCCTATCAATGATTCTCTTTCATCATTGATGTTTCTATCTCTCTCTCCTTCTCCCTTCCTCTCTCTGAAATCAATAAAAAACATATTTTTTAAAATGGGCTGCTTGGATTTGAGGTTTTAGAGGTGATCGGTGAGGAAAAGGTCAGAAGTATAACCAGGGGAGTAGGTAGCTGAAAGGTGGTGGAAGAAACAATTATTAGAGATGAGAAGTCTGAGCCATTGAGAGTACAGGACCGGTGCTCTAGGCACCATTTTTGAGTTATAGAATCAGGATAATAGTACCTTCCACTGAGTATCATTGTTAGGTTTAAATAATGATACATATGTTCAAATTTTATCAATATTGGGACACCCTCTTCCTTCTTACTCTTTCAAGAATTTCGTGTCCGCATGGGCTCCTGCCACGCCCCAGGCCTGTGCTCGTTGGGGGAACGGCTGTCTCCACTGGCCCCGTCTGCGGGATGGGGGTGAGCGGGGATGAGCGGGCCTGTGCGAAGGGGCGTCCTGCCCAGGGTGGTGCTGCCTCCACCCCTGAGCTGCCACGGAGGCTCCAGCTGGCCACCTGCCACCTCAACCTGCGACCTCCGTCCCTCACCTGGACACGGCAGGTGAAAGGCCCGCCCAAGGCAGGTGCATTTAAGGAGAGACCGACCAAGCCCACAGCCTTCCGGAAATTTTACGAGCGCGGAGACTTCCCCATCGCCCTTGAGCATGACTTGAAAGGGAACAAGATCGCGTGGAAGGTGGAGATCGAGAAGCTGGACTACCACCACTACCTGCCCCTGTTTTTCGATGGGCTCTGCGAGATGACCTTTCCCTACGAGTTCTTCGCGCGGCAGGGGATCCAGGACCTGCTGGAGCACGGCGGGAGCAAGATCCTCCCGTCATCCCGCAGCTCATCATCCCCATCAAAAACGCCCTGAACCTCCGGAACCGGCAGGTCATCTGTGTGACGCTCAAGGTCCTGCAGCACCTGGTGGTGTCGGCCAACATGGTGGGCGAGGCCCTGGTGCCCTACTACCGTCAGATCCTCCCCATCGTGAACATCTTTAAGAACATGAACCTGAACTCCGGGGACGGCATCGACTACAGCCAGCAGAGGAGGGAGAACGTGGGCGACCTGATCCAGGAGACGCTGGGGGCCTTCGAGCGCTACGGGGGAGAAGAGGCGTTCGTCAACATCAAGTACATGGTGCCCACCTACCAGTCCTGCCGGCTCAACTAGCCGCCGGCCGCCGGGCGGGGCGCCGGGGGAGGGGTCCCCCGTGCTCCGGTCATGGGTCTGCGCGGGGCTCCTCTCCTTCTCCGACTCCTCCAGCCGCTGGGACAGTGGCCTCCTCGGCCGGGCGCTTGCCCGCTGGGAGCAAGGCTTCCCGATACATAAATAGTGCCTGTTTCTTAGATTACAATAGTGTCCTGTGCTCATTTGTCCCCGAGGAGCAGTGCCCCTTTCTGCAGCCCTGACAGAATAGGAGTCCCAGCTCAGCCTCCACTGTATAGACAATAAACGACAATTAAAAAAACAAAAACAAACCTGAAGTGTTTTTACGCAGGTATAGGTATGAAATCATATGTTATAGGATAACCATTCTTTTGGCAGCCTATTAGCTTCCTATATCTTTGTTGTTTTTTTTAAAATCATCTTTATTTGGAGATTGTATTAGTGATTTATATCACTAAACATTTAGTGTTTAGTGATATAAAACACTAAAAACAGTGTGTGGAATATTGTAGGTGTTCACTAAATATCAGCTACTGTTTTTTGTAACTTTTGCTAATTTCCTCTTTTGTAATTAAGGAGGACTTGTTTCTCAGAAAGCGTCCTGAGCGTATGTGCTACTGAAATTTAGGCTTTCTCCTCGGAGCATGAGCTGGACAGCATTTGAAAAGGGGCAAGTGAGACACATGGATATAACTATGTTTTAAAATCTATATTTAGGCAGTAAATTTAGAGAGAGAATAAGACACAGCAACTCAAGATATGTGTTAGACAAGTATGGGCTCCTTCAGTGAACCATAAATAACATTAGTTCAAAAACATTGAACTAAAAACTATAAAATAGCACATAGCTAGTTGTTTCATTGTCAATGTATTACAAAATGTCTCTTTAGATGCCATGTTATAAAATAAGCATAATCTGTATAAACGGGTCAGTGCTAGTGTTTATTCTTCATGCAATTTCAATCTTTCCAAACATGATAAAACAAAAAGACAAAAGTCAAAACTTCAACTCCTCTGAACACCTCAAGAAAAGCCTAATAATAGACAGATGTTGTGATTTCACTTCATAGTTATTCTACTTTCTAAACATTCTGATTTCAGGAAAGATTGGCATATAATACACACAGAGCAGTTCTTAGAAAGATGATCTAAGAGACAGATGTGCTGATTAAATGTACACCAATGTAATAGCATACAGCCTTCTTAGAAGCATCGCATTTATAGTATAAAGATAGTGCAGCTTCAGAAAAACCCCTAAGAATTACATAGGAAGACACACATTCTATGTCGTATCAGTGCAAATACGAACAGAACCAGTGGAAGTGAAGACATAAAAATATTACCTATCATCTACCCAGAAGAAATACAGGTAGGAAGTTGGATAGGGGCCACCAATGTTAAATCCTTCCCACTGTGCAAATAGCAAAATCTTAGAGCCACCTGTCTTCAAGTACATAATTCAAACCTCCCTAGTCATTCCCAAGATCACCAGGGGGGAAAAGTAGCCACTGTGGAAATTGTTAAATTGGGAACCAAGTTGCGGACATTAAGGCGGATATTTTGGAATTAGATTCTGCGGGAGGATGCAGGCATGACCAATTCGGTGGTTAACACTTTGCTGGCCTGAATGCTTATTAGTCTGGCCTTGCCTTCCTGAGCACATGCAGGAGACCGCCCCTGAAGCAGAGAGCAGCCCGGCCTGTGGTAAATACTAGGACCTTATCACACAACGGGGAGGAAGGAAGTCCGTAAATGTCCTTCTCGCCCACAAGTACATTAATATCAGTACACTGCCCTCAATTCCCTGGCAAGGGCATGTTTGAACCTCATTTAGATCTGTAATTGCTTTCTTTGTTACTTATTTCTTAGAGTTTTCAGGTTGGTGAGTAGCATGTGACTAAATGCTTGATCCTTGTCTGACTGATCCCAAACATTCTCAGTCCCTTCTGACCTTGTTTTTTCTTATTCATTCACTCACCAAATCTTTATTTGGCACCACCGATGTGCTAGGTACTATGTTGGCTGTTATCTATGTCGGTGAATAAAATAGATATTCTCCACGATTTTATAGAATTAATAGTTCTGGGATAGTTATTCAGTTCCTGTAGCTTCCTCCTCTCGCCTTCTCCTTAGCAGTATATCCCATGACACTTATCATTGCTTTGCAAACAGTAAATGTTTCTGTAAATGTGTGCTCATCAGGAAATTAAAAGAAGAGGTTGAAAGGGCATTTGGAGCTCAGAAATTAGAAGAAAGTTTAAATTATTTTTCTAAAGCAAGTGTTTACCTCTTCTTCTTCTTTTGTTTTTTAATCATTCTCTGAGGCTCGAAAACTGCTGTGGCTGCAAGAACACTCCCAAGGGGGTGGTCATCTATTCTGCATTAGGGATGCCAGTGCTATGCTCCATTAGTGTGGCGGCCCATGTGCTGACTGTGCTCAGAGAGGAAAAAACAAACTGAAGTGAGTGTGATTAGAAATTATTAATTTAGTATTAGGACAAAAGAGTCTCATTATTTCTGCTGCTTGCTGCATGGATCTGATAGTAAGAGTCCAAGCACCCATCACTTATTTTCCCAATGACCCTTAATCCGACTTTAGGTTTGTTCATCTTTTAACATTTATTAATTGCATTTTAAAACAAATTAATTTTGGTTAAGCAAGCAATTTTCATGAATAGAAAAATAATTGCAGGGTAGTGATTTTTATCTGTTGGATATGTGAATTACTTTGTCTTTGGAATAAGTTTATTGATAGGGTCTTCTGACTATAGTGCTATATAATTGCACTCAGGTCTAATATATTTTTAAAAGTAAAAAATATTTTATTTATTTATTATTACTTTTTAATCCTCACCAGAGGATATTTTTCCCATTGATTTTTAGAGAAAGTTGAGAAGGAGAGGGAGAGACAGAGAGAGAGAGAAACATCAATGTGAGAGAGACACATTGACTGGTTGCCTCACTCATGCACCCGGAACAGGGCCAGGGATTGAGCCTGCAACCAAGGCACCCTGCAACTGAGACAGGTACCCTTGACTGGAATGGAAACTGGGAGCCTTCAGTCCAAGGGCCAATCCTTTATCCACTGAGCAAAACTGGCTAGGGTGTAAAAAATATTTTAAATGGCTGTCCTTTATAATACATACATATAGTATATCTCCTAGATAATAAAAGACTAATATGCAAATTGTCCGAACAGCAAAACTACCATTTGCTATGACACACACTGACTACCAAGGGGCAGATGCTCAATGCAGGAGCTGCCCCCTGGTGGTCAATGCACTCCCATAGGGGGAGTGCTGCTCAGCCAGAAGCCAGGCTCATGGCTAGCAAGAGCAGCAACAGTGGCGGGAGCCTCTCCCACCTCCACAGCAGCGCTAAGGACCCCTCAGGGAATGTCTGCTGAGGGGTCTTGGACTGCGAAAGGGCACAGGCCAGGCTGAGGGACCCCTCCCTTCAGTGCACGAATGTCATGCACTGGGCCTCTAGTATATATATATATAATTTGCTGACATCAATATGTCTATAATGTTAATTTATTTTGTAAAAAAAAATCCAGTTACGTTGACTTAAATCAACTAATACAATCTCCAAATAAAGATGATTTTAAAAAAACAACAAAGATATAGGAAGCTAATAGGCTCCCAAAAAGAATGGTTATCCTATAACCTATGATTTCATACCTATACCTGCATAAATATCCTCAGTTGCTTGGGCATTGTCCTGGGCACTCAAAGGTGGTCAGTTTCACTCCCAGTCATGGCACATGCCTGGGTGTGGTCTTCATCCCCTGTAGGGGGTGTGCAGGAGGCAGCTGATCAATGTTCTGCTCTCATATCCATATTTCACTCTCTCTCTCTCCCTTCCTCTCTCTACATATACATATATTAATATCCTACACCCTGCGTGGTTATAGGACAAGGTTAGCTCTAAAGTTGAGACAAGTTCAGTTAAGCTTGGAAAAGATGAGAGCACTCTCTGGAGAGTTTGAGAATGTAAGTTTATTTACTATGTAAAAGCAGTCCCAGATATGCAGAATATAGAGTAGGAATAAAGGGAAATGGAGAAATAGAACAAATTAGTCAATGAGAATTTGTTAAAGATAGAAGAATAAAGCCACTTACAATTTCACAGAACCAAAAATGGGGCGTGAGGCACAGTGGGAATATCTATCTTCGATTTCCCGAATAGACATCTTTCACATATTAGGCCCTCTATTCATTTCATAAATATATAGTGTCAACTCAATTGTAATGTCAACCCAGATAGTGACAGACCATGACTTTTGACTATGGCCCAAATACAGTGCAAGTAAGATGATGTAAAATGCTAATAGTGCCTGGCACAGAAAGTTCCATATAAGTGTTGGTGATTAGTATTATAGCAATTTTTTATCATTATTAGTATTACTAGTATTCTTCCCTTGGTTTGGAAAAAAGTAATGTTCTCCCATGGAAAATATAGTCTCTGTTCTTCTTTGATTTTGTTCTTCACATTTTTTTTTGTTAATCCTCACCCAAGGATACTTTTTCCATTGATTTTTAGTGAGAGTGGAAGGGAGGAGGAGAGAGAGAGAGGGAGAGAGAGAGAGAGGTGAGAGATATACATTGATTGGTTGCCTCCTGTATCCTCATCGACCAGGGCTGGGAAATGAACCTGAAACCCAAGTATGTGCCCTTGACTGTGAATTGAACCTGAGACCCTTTGGTGTGGGGGAAGATGCTCTACCGTTGAGCCACACTGGCCAAGACTGTTCACTTTTAGAGTTTTCCTCATACAGATCTTGCATATATTTTATTAGATTTATACCTAAGTATTTCATTTTGGGGGGCTAGATAATGTAAATGATAATTTATTTTCAAATTCTACCTGCTCATTGTTGGATATGAGAAAATCAGTTCATTTTTGTATATAAACTTTGTATCCTGCAAACTTGTTATAATCACTTATGAGTTATAGGAGTTTTTCAGTGAATTCTTTTGAATTTTCTATATGAATTATCA